CCTATATCCAAAACCTCCAAGAAAAATATGAATTGGTCCCAGGCCATGGAAGAGCTCAAAAAGGGTTTTGAGAAGCAAGTAAGAGAAGTAGAGGAAAAACTGAGAGTGATGCTAAAGGAGACCCAAAAAAATACTGAAGAAAATAACACCTTAAAAAAATGGCCTAAACCAAATGGCAAAAGAGGTCCAAAAAGCCAATGAGGAGAAAAATGCCCTAAAAAGCACAATTGACCAAATGGAAAAGGAAGTCCAAAAACTTACTGAAGAAAATACTTCCTTAAAAATTAGAATGGAGCAATTGGAAGCTAGTGACAATTTGAGAAATTAAGGCACTGTAACACTAATCCAAAAGAATGAAAAAATAGAAGAGAATGTGAAATATCTCATTGGAAAAACAACTGACCTGGAAAAGAGATCCAGGAAAGAGAGATTAAAAATTATTGGACTATCTGAAAGCCTTGATCAAAAAGAGCCTAGACCTCATTTTTCAAGAAATTATCAAGGAAAACTGCCCTGATATTTTAGAACCAGAAGGCAAAATAGAAATTGAAAGAATCCACCAATCCCCAAAGGAAAACTCCTAGGAATATTATAGCCAAATTCCAGAGTTCCCAGGTCAAGGAGGAAATATTGCAAGTAGCCAGAAAGAAACAATTCAAGTAATATGGAAACACAATCAGGATTACACAAGATTTAGCAGCTTCTACATTAAGGGACTGGAGGGCATAGAATATGATATTCCAGAGGGCAAAGGAGATAGGACTACAACCAAGAATCACCAACTCAGCAAAACTGAGTATAATCCTTCAGGGTAAAAAGTAGTCATTCAATGCAATAGGGGACTTTCAAGCATTCCTGAGGAAAAGACCAGAGCTGAATAAAAAATTTGACTTTCAAATACAAGACTCAAGTGAAACATGTAAGAGGTAAACAAGAAAGAGAAATCATAAGAGACTTATTATTAAGGTTGAACTGTTTACATTCCTGCAGGGAAAGATGAGTCCTTTTTCAGTATTAATGTAGTGGGAGGGAAAGAAATTATATGTATGTATAGATAGAAAGATAGAGGGCACAGGGTGAGTTGAAGATGAAGGGGTGATATCTGGAAAATAAAATTAAAGGATGAGAGAGGATTATACTGGGAGAAGGAGAAAGGGAGAAGTAGAATGGGGTAAATTATCTCACATGAAACAGACAAAAAAAGACTTTTACAATGGAGGGGAAATGGGGGAACGTGAGAGGGAATGAGTGAATCTTATTCTCATAGGATTTGGTTTAAGGAGGGAATAACACACACAATGGGGTATGGAAATCTATCTTACCCTACAGGAAAATAAGGGGGGAAGGGGACAAGAGAGCATGGGGTTGATAGAGGGGAGGGCAGATTGGGGGAGGGGATAATCAGAAGCAAACACTTCTGAGGAGGGACAGGGTCAAAAGAGAGAATAGAATAAATGGGGGATAGGTTAGGATGAAGGGAAATATACTTAGTTTTTCACAATAGAACTACTATGAAAGTGTTTTGCATGACTACACATCTATCACCTGTATCAAGATGCTTGCCTTTTCAATGAGAGTGGGTGGGGAGGGAGGAAGGGAGAAAATTTGTAACCCAAAATTTTAAAAACACATGTTAAAAAAAATATTCTGAGAAGGAGTACACATAGGCTTCACCAGATTGCCAAAGGGGTCCATGACATGAAAAAGTTAAGAATACCTGTTCTAGATTCTTTCTCTCTTAATGATTTATGATCATCTATATTCAGATGTTTCCTAAATCTATATACCAACTTCAATCTCTCTGATGACCTCCAGTTTCTGCTTTGCCAACTGCTTCTTGGAAGCGTGGTAGAAAGAGCACCAGATTGGGTGTTTAAGAAGCTGGGTTTAAATCTTGCCTCTGCTACTTAATATTTATGTGTCTTAACCTCTCTGAACCCCAGTTAACTTTTCTAATTCACTTAATTTTTCTGGCTTCAGATTCCTAATCTGTAAAATTAGATAACTTCTAAGATCTCTTTTCTCTAAATCCAAAATATTTCTGGATGGGTTATTAGCATCAACATGTTCAAAACAGAACTCATTATCTTCTCATGTAAATCTGCCCTATCCCCAAAATTTTCTAGTTTTGTTGAGGGCAGCACCATCCATGGCATCTGCCAGGTTCAGATAATCATCCTTGATTCTTTCCCCCCTCAATCTCCAAATACAATCAACTGTCATGTTTAGTCAATTCCACCTCAAAACTATATTTTGCACTACTGCCCTCCTTTATACTTCCACAGCTGCTATCCTGTTTCAGACCCTTGTCATTTCTCATTGGAACTATTTCAGTAACTTTTTAGTTGGCTTTCTTGCTTTCAGTCTTTCATTTTTCTAATCTATTTTGTTACACAACTTTCTAACACATGTATTTGAGGCAGTTAAGTGGCTCAGTAGATAGAGTGCTGGGCCTGGAGAGAGGAAGACCTGAGTTCAAATGCCACCTCAGACACGTACTAGCTGTGTGACCCTGGGCAAATCACTTAATCTGGTTTACTCAGTGTCCTTATCTGTAAAATGAACTGGAGAAGGAAATGGCAAACTATTCCAGCAGCTTTGCCAAGAAAACTCCAAACTGGGGTCATGAAGAGTTGGACGTGACTTAAATGACTGAATAACAACACATATTACGTACAATTATGAATAAAATTATTTGTGCTGTTGTCTTTTCATAAGAGTGAACATGTCTTAAATCTATTTGTGTCCTCAGGTACCTAGAACAGTGCTCTGCACATTTCTACACCATAGGTACTTCATTTTTGAATGAATAAGTGAATCTCTATGTACATATCCATTTAGAAAATGATTTTTATTTTTGTCCAGAATGGGATCATAATCCAAAGTGGCAGGACCTTTAAAGAAATTACTTCTCAATGGTAGATCAAGTATCTAGTAAAACTAGTAGATTTCCCTCCCCTTGAGTAAAAACAACTGCAAACTTTCTTAGGTACAAAAGAGTCCTCTTTTTAATTTCCTTTCAAATTATAAATATTTTTATTATGTGGTGCAAATCAGGTAAAGTCATTTTGTCACTGATTTTAGCATTTTTTTTACCTTTAATTTATTAATGAGTTTTCCAGATAGTTCTGAACACATAAAGGATATATTTAAAATGTTATTTATTAGATCAATGATGACAAGGGAAAAGGCTTTCAATTAGATTTTCACAGAACAAAGGATGACTCAGGGTCTAGGAAATATAACAAAAAGCATGAATAATACAAATACTAAAAAAAATCTGCAGCAGAATTTAAAATAGACTTAGAACCCAGAAGTGGACTGCAGACTATGAAGAAACCTTATTCCTCCATATCATGAATGCTTTAGTAAGAAAAAAAGATTGGCAGGGGCTAGATATGGTAAGCACCAAATTACATAATAAAAAGGAAATAGATTATATATTAGCAGACTCATTACTAAGAAAAGAAAAGACTCATTACTAAGGTGAGAAGCATATGCATATGTACAGACAGACTACTGACTTATTAGCACAAAGATCAGAATTAATGTAAGGTTATAGGAAAGACTAATAATGAAAAAATATGGTATGTGGTTGAAATAACTCAATCCTGACCTATTTTTAAAAAGCTGTTAATGATGAAATACAGGTAACAGCTTCAAGAAAGGACATCTACACTGATATTATACAGAAGTTTAACTAATGCAAATCCATTGCCATAACAAGGATACTAAAAATGTCTAAAAAAGACCTTAGCAAACATGTGACTTAATTGCCAATGAGAGAACAGTGGCATCCAAAGGAACCACTAGTATGATACAAATACCTTTCTAATATTATGGAAGATGGTTGATGAAAAATTATGAGCAGCTTTTCTTCATCAAGCAGAGTCAAACAGTGTGGGGCAAAATTATTTTAAAGAAAGTTAGGCAAAAGAACCTACCAATCAAAATCATCCCCAAATTATTTAAAGATGAAAATAAAAGGAGTCTAACAGAAGACTTTAAAGATTTTAAAAACTGTTTTTGACAGAAAGACTCTGTAGAGTCTTTGTATTTCAACGTCACAATCCTGCATGTGCTTATAGAAGAGATAGAAATAACTCTAAATATAACAAAAATGGGAAAAGAAGGTAAATTAGTCCAAGTGTACATAGAGGAGATATGTCCTGGAGGTGAAACAATATTAAGAGAGCCGAAGGACCATTTTACAGGGTATCTGGAGGGAAAAAAATATCAACAATTTGAAAACAAATAAACAAGCAAAACCAAACCTCAGGACTATTCATATAAAAAAGTAAGTAAAACAACGGTAACTACTGACCTATATGCCTACATTTTTACATTTATATAAAATTTTAATAATCATCTGGTCATTCAGCAAAGGCATATATAATAAAGATAGTTGCTTCAAAGCTTTCACAAATCTAGTCCATCCTATACACTACATCTAAATAAATTTTAAGTATAAATATGACCATGTGACTCTCCCACTCAAGCAACCTCAATAGCTTTTTATTGCCTCTAGGATAAAAGATAAACTAATTTATTTAGTTTTTAAATCTCTATGTAACTTGGTTTTAGCCTATTTATCCAGCTTTATAAGGTGTCCCTTTCTTATTTAAAATACACAGCTCAAGCATTATCTTCTACATGAAGCTTTTTCTAATTTTGTCTAACTGAATTTTGTAGCTGAATTTTGTATTTTTGTAACTGAACTCACTCCCATGGCACCTTATATTTAACTATGTTCTATATATTTGTATTTATTCTATGCTTGAGACATACACACACATTTACTTACATTACCCATTAGAATGTAATTTCCTTATAAATAATGATTATTTAATTCTTTGTACCTATATTCCCAGCTTATTGAATATTCTACAGTGGATCATATCTTTACATTCTTCAATTAACTGGAAGTGTAGAGGATACAAGATCTTTTCTGGTTTACTTTTATTTTAAAAAGTTTTTAAGTTATTAGAACAAAATGTTACCATAAAAGCTTTCTTCCTTCGGGATGTCTCCCGTCCCCATATCAAGGTCGCTTAAGGGACTGTGAAAGAAATAACAACAGAAATAACCTTGTTTAACAACTCATCTGATTTTGATATTAGGGGAGGTATAAAATAAAGAGATGTACTCTCACCAAAAGTATTTACCATTCTGATAGAAATCCAACACAGAATTCATGCTCAAGAAGAAATCTTTATGGATTTTGAGGTTCTACAGATGCTTCTTTTTATTAATAGCTTTGTCCTGGTTGAATCAAGCCCTAGAATGTTACAGATCCTCCTAGAAGTATCTATGGTCACTCAAAAGTGTTTGGCCTGACCATCCACACTGGCAAGACCAAGTGGATGAAGAATGTCTATTGTAAAGATATGACATACAATTGAATGGAAACCCTGTAGCTTGTCTACCAATATGCATATATGGACAAACAGTACAAATGAACAATGATTTGAACTCAAATAAACAGGAGGAGGAAAGTAGGCTGGAGAATTTCCAGGAAATTGTAAAACTCTATTAATGACCTCAAGCTTCTCCCAGAAATAATGGCCTTTGTTTTTTAAGACTGATATTCTCCTGGTATTATTATATGGCTGTGATATGTGGAATACAACACTGAAAATAAATGTCATACTGAAGGCAATGGGAAGGTATGTTATGTGTGAACAGGTTGCAATATATAACAAAAGAGGAACTTCAAAGAAGAACAGTTGTAAAGCATCTTAAGAGTAAAATATATGGCAGAAAAGGAAGGTTGTTTGGTCCTGTAGTCCTGTGCCATAAGAAGGGCAATCTAAATATTTTTTAATTAATTTTTTCAATGAACAAAAAAATCTATTTTCTGTTCTTCCTAACTCATCCCATGTACACCTGAGGAAAAATAAAAACAAAGCCCTTATAACAAATACACATAGTAAAAAAAAATAAATTCCCACATTGTACGTGTCCAAAAAATTTGTCTCATTTTCCACCCTGAGTCTATTACCTCTCTTTTTGGAGGTGGGTTGCATGCTTCTTTATGGTCCTCTGGAAGTATTGCTCATTAAATTGACCAGAATTCTTAAGTTTTTCAAAATTGCTTGTTTTTACAATTTTATTGTTATTGTATAAATTGCTCTCCTTTTTCTGCTTATCTCGCTTTGAATCAGATTATACAAATATTCCCAGGTTTCCATGAAACCATTCCCTTTATCATTTCTTATAGTACAATAGCATTACATTATATTAATATACTTTGTTCAGCCATTCTACAAATGATAACCATAGCTGACAAAAAATGGAAAATGACAAATGTTGTAGGGATTGCAGGAAAATAGGCAGATTAAAGGGCTGTTGGTGAGCGATGAATTACTTCAGCCATTCTGGAAAACAATTTGGAACTATGCTCAAAAAGTTATTAAACTGGATAACCCTTTGACCCAGTGATAGCACTATAAGGTTTATACCTCAAAGAGATTAAAGAAAGAAGAAAAGGAACTGTATGTATAAAAATACTTACAGTAGCTTTTCTTGTGTGTATGTGGTGGATCAACTGTAAACTAAAGGGGTGCTGAGGCCAAGTATGTTAACAATGCCAGGAAAAAGCAAGTAAGGCCTCCTATATATTTTGTGGAGCTTTTATATTGAACTTACAGGAGGATATGATCAAGAGTCACAATGAATGGGTAGATACAGATGAGCTGATATCGACAACATTGGAAAAATCCAAACTGATGAGATCACATCCATTGAGCATCTATTAAAATAAGTTAATATCATATGTGTATAAAATATTTTTATATTATTATTCCATGTAATTAAGTATTTGCTGACTATTTATTATATACAAAATATTTTCTAAATGATATAGGAAGTTCAAATAAGCATTAGGATTATCATTCAGGGACCTTATACTTTAGTTTGGAAGACAAAACACGTGAAGAGTTAACCTTAAAATACTGAAATAATATCTCTTTCTAATATTTCAAGGATCTATAAGTATATCAATTCCAACCAATATGAATGAGTCTTTGAGATTTTCTGTGCCCAAAATAATTCATAGACAATGTGCCCCTTGGACAATCTGGTAATAAGACCCTCCAACCATTGCTAGGATAGTCTTTGATTATTGTATCTGTGTTTAAGGACTTTACCATCTTATAAGACCTGGCAAAACTCATGTTCTCCTGGATAACTATGTCACCTCTATGTGACAGTGAAGATCAAGGATGAGAGAAATGATTATTTTTTCTTATAATAATAACAAATTATTAATTGAGATTAAGTTTTTTTTAATTTCCTCATTCAGAAATAAACCTCTGTAGGTTATATAGCCAGTCTTTGAAGGAAATTACTGATCTCACCCCAAAATTTACCCCACCTAGACCATCTTATCTAGGTGGAATTTTTACCCCACCCAATTAGAAAACTGACAGAGAGAGTCTAATCCAGGTGAATTCTGGCCCATTGTGTTCTACACTGGCTTGGGTGGTGATCCTTTTGTCTAGCTTGCCCAAGGCTGTGGGTGGTCTGGGAGTAATAGTGATACAATCAAAGTCATGGTTCCCCCAGCCCCTCATTAGAATAGGTCTGCATTTCATTATAATATTCATTCTCTCATTAATTGTTAACCAATCAGAATTGATTTCTGCCTGTTGGGAACACCCCCTCTTCCAAGGGCGTATAAGCATTGAGAGACCTCCATGAGCTGTCTTTGGTTTACAAGAGAAGCCCAAATGACTTTTTATTCATTTATTAATTATTCACTAGCCATATTTAATAAAATGATTAATTACCTAGAAATTATGTCTTTTGAACTTTTCATATACCAGAGAGATAAGACTTTTGTGGAGGGAAAGAAAAAACAAAACCTCATTTCAATATAAACCATAGGAAAGATGTCACAAAATCATTCACGATTAATCACCAAATAACTAAAAAATGAATTAGATTACTATCCACTTTTGGTGATTCACATGGGCACAAATGATACCGTCATAAGCAACCTAGAAAGTATTTCCAAAGATTATGAAGTCAGGCAAGAAACTAAAAATGATAGCAATAAGTTGTTATTTTCCTCATTACTACCCATTGCAAAGGAGACAGAAGAGAAAAAAAATAACCTGAGAAGTAAACAAATGGGATGTGGATTTTTAGATCACAGTATAAAATACAGCAATAACAGGCTCCTGGACAGTGATGGAGCACATCTAATAAAGGCTGGTGAGAAAGTATGTGCCTAGAGTCTGAAAAATCTAATCAAAAGGACTTGAAAATAAAATGCAGGTGGAAAAGGATGAGAAAGAAACTACCCACCAACTAAGTGAAATATAATACAGAATAACTATAATAAAGGAAGAATAGAAACTGAGTCACACAGAAATTTACAAGAAAAGAGTCAATATAAAACATGTGGCCTCGGCTGTATGTTCCCAAACGCCTAAAGCTTAGGCAGCAATAAAAACAGGCAAGAACTAGCATTATATAGTGTTTTAAGATTTGCAAAAACGTGTTACATATAGAATCTCATTTTATCCTTGCAACAAAGTAGAGCCCTAAAAGAGATCAAGTATCTCTGCCCAGAGTCTTCTTGATGTTGTTCAGTTATTTCGAAGTCATGTCTGACATTTCATGATCCCATTTGGGGTTTTCTTGGCAAAGATACTGGAGTGCTTTGCCGTTTCCTTCTCTAGCTCATTTTTATAGATGAGGAAACTGAGGCAAACAGGGTTAAGTAACTTACCCAGAATCACACAACAAGTAATTGTCTGAGGCAAGATTTGAACTTAGGAAGATATATCTTTCTGACTCCACGCCCAGCACTTTATCCACTGTGTCACCTAGCTGCCCATCTCAGAATCATTCAGCTAGTAAATGGCAGGATTTGAACTCAGCTCTTACTGACTTCAAGTCCAGCATTCTATACACTGTGTCACCTAGTAACCTCTAGATGAACTAGAGGTTCCAATATAGGAGACAAATTTGATTATCACTGAAACTTGGCAGGGTAAAACTCATGACTAGAAAGACTTCAAATGGGTGTGCCTTATTTAAAAGAAGCAGGATAGGCAAAGAGTTTGCTAGAGTATAATTGTAATCCCAGTTAATGTATCCCAAATAATAAAGCATACTCATGGGGAAAAAAAATAAACCAATGGTGAGAAGCATGGTGGAGAACATTTCGGGGAATTATGGAGGAAAAAATAGAATTGATTTTTCATTGGATCACTTGGACAGACAGAAGAAATAGAGTAGGGGTTAAGGAAACAAATCAGGAGCTGGATATAAAAAGCACAATATAATAGTCATGGCAAGCATATTATCAAGACATCTAGAGCTCTTTCTCAGCTATAAGCAGAACAGATTTTTTTTTTTACTTGCCTTAATGATAATTTTAACCAGCAAAAGTTGAAGGAACCACCAATGGTTGGTTAATTCTATTCTGTTTCAAGCAAGGGTTAGGGCCACTGACCAGGGTAGATGAGATGACTTAAACTGAAAACAGAGAAGAAGAATTGTTGCTAAATTCAGGCTGGGTTTTTGTTTTCTCTACCTCCTCAAGCAGACGGTTAATAAACATTTATTAAAGTACCAACCATATTCCAAGCACCATGCTAAGCCCTGGGGATACAAAAAAAGGCAAAAGACAATCCCTTTTCACAAGAAGTTCACAGTCTAATGGGAAAAAGAACATGTAGACAATTCTATACAAACAAGATATTTAAAGGATAAATTAGAAATAATGAACAGAAGGAAAACACTAGAATTAAGGAGGATCAGGAAAGACTTACTGAAGAAAGTGGGATTTTAGCTGGGTCTTTAAAGAAATCAAGGAAGCCTGGAGGTAGAGATGAGGAGGGAGAGCACTTGAGGCTAGGAACTGAGAAATGGAGTATCTTGTTTGAGGAATAGTAAGGAGGCCAATGTTACTAGGTCACAGAGTATGTGGGATGGGGTGGGATGGGAGTTGGGGAGGAAGTTTGCACTAGAAATGACAGAATAAAAATAATGTCTATCCAAGATAAATAAAGAGATAAGAGAATGCTTATTTGCAAAGTTAAATTA